ATTAGCAGAGTCATATGGCTATATAACGACAGATGAAAAAATTAATCCAAATACTTCTCACAAATTCCACTTTTTAAATTTATGTAAAATTGAAAATGTCTGAACACAGTGACTGCGAATTTGATTATGATCACCACACCAAAATGGCAACATGCTAAATTAACACAACTAGAGATACTGTGAGCGAGCTCACAAAATGATACCCCCGCTGAATTTATGAAAGTTCTTTAGAGGCATTGTTATCCAACACATTAATGTGTTCAGTATTAATGATGCTTTCCAATTCCACATCGTATAACTTATTGTCCCCACATGAATATAATAAAATCCTTCAATTTCACATAGAATATCTGACTGACAGGTGACAATAAAAAGATGGACTGAAGGTTTTTGGACCGTACAAGTTAATTAACATAAAATCGTACTTGTTAAATACATTCATTTCAAGTATAAGGAGATTCCCATCATCATAATTGTGTTGCTTGAGAATATTATATTCAAAATTATTATTAGATAATATAGCAGTACCCCTAGCATTTGATATCTCCGATGAAAAGTATACATCAAAGCCCCAGAAAGACCTCACTTGTTATAATCGTCATTAGTCAAATGAGTATCTTGAAGTAAACATACAGAAAAGTTCTTTTGCTTAAAATAATTTAATACATCCCTTCGTTTCTCTAAGCCGCCAAGCCCCTTACAATTAAAAGAGACTACACTAAAACTCATACTAGTTTAGGAAAGAAAAAAGAATTAATCCAGCTCTGGATTGATCGTAATAAGTTATGAGCTCACCCCTTCCGTAGATAGATTGACACATATACACGCATACATATAAAAATGACAAACTTTCACACAACATAACTAGAGAGAAAAAAAATAGGAAAAAAAGAAAGTTCAGTTCCTTGTGACCCTAGAGTGGCACGAAATTTTATACAAATTTTATACTTTTTCTGCCAGTGACCTTGAACTTTTTTTTTATTCACATCTCTTTTACAATAATATACATTGAATTAATACATATGTTTTTTTAGAATAGAAAGAGAGATAAAGGAGAGAGAGAGAGAGAGAGAGAGAATTAAGAAAAAAGCTGATTCCATCTGTTCCACTGGGCATCAAACTTTTCCTTTCCACTATTTTTATAAGAAATAAATTTGTGTGTTTCATAATAAAATTTCATTTGTGGTATTGCAGCACATAAATTCAAAGGTTTCTCAGTACATTCTGTTGTGTAAATATAATATTTAAGACAAAGGATAATAGTATTTTGAATATCAGAATAATTCTCAATATAACCTAAAATAAAAGATTTCTTGAACTTGCCTGAATGACCGTTGATTAACTTCATGAAACGCTTCAAATGATTCTCCATTGCTAAGTTTTAGTCTGAACAATACCTTTATACCTTTTCTGCCTTTAAATTTGAACTTGCTGAAATGACCTTGGGTCAAGGTCATGACACTTTCTAATCATGAACAATCTCTGTATTCAGTATGAGCTTCCAATGATTCTTCATTACAAAGTTATAGCCCAGACAAGAATTTTATACTTTTTCTTCCAGAGAGTTTGAATTTGGAAAACCTTGAGTCAAGGTCATGTCACTCCCTCTTGTCATGAGCAATCTTTGTACGAGATATGAGCTTTCAATGATTCTTTTTTATACAGATAATGCCCAGTGAAAATTTTGTTATTTTTTCATTGCAAAAGCTCAAAAGCTTCTTGAGATATCGCCCGGGAACAAAAATGTTACACATAGGCAGAATGTATGAATTTACGATCTTGACCTTTGACTTTTTGAACTCAAAATCAAGAGGTGTCTTCCTTATGCCATAGGGAGTTGTGGTATAAAATTTCATTGCAAAAGCTCAAAGGCTTCTCGAGATATCGCGCGGAAACGAAAGTGTTAAAACAGACAGAATAATGAATTTATGACCTTGACTTTTTGACCTCAAAATCAATAGGGTTCTTTAGGCCATGAAGAGTTGTTATGTAAAATTTCATTGCAAAAGCTCAATGGCTTCTCGAGATATTGCGCGGAAACGAAAATGTTACAGACAGACAAAAATACAGACACACGGACAGCTAGACGGTCGGACGGACAGTCAGACCCAAATTAATATCCCCCACTTTCAGTGAAAGCAGGGGGCAATTAATGCACGTAAAATTATTGTGTGACCTTTTTGCATTAATAAAAATTTAAGGTATTTAAAAAATTATCTGAAAAAGATAATAAAATATTTTCTTACATCAAGCTTTTTTATGACTTAAGTGTTGGTTTGTTGAAAGTATAGTGTTATTTAAAATAATGAAAGAAAAAGTGGGGGCCAGTAATGTAAATTTTGGGACATTGGTCAAAATATGCAATTTTCAGATGAATAACTATGTAAATTTTTTCTAGACTCCTTAAATATATAATCATACTTTGACAATGTATGTTAAGTGAATGTGTAAATATTTCTCTAAAAATATTAAATGGAACCTATATTAAATATTTCTGGCATATGATAACGAAAAATATTCTCGAGTAAAAATATATTGGGCTATAAAGTTCCAAATACATGTATTGAATTAAATAAAAGTGTAAATTTGAAGAATTTCTTCTAAATATCTTTCCACCGCAAGAAACAGTCCCAAATTAATCATATTTCTTTACAAACTTGTAAGTAATTTTTCAATTGAATATTGTATAATTTGCATTGTATATTTCAATTTAATTCAAATGTGTTATAAAAATTGAATTGTAATTGATAACTTTGACTCAACAGTTTCTGACCAAATTCTATCAAAAGCTGACGAGTGACATACCTTTAAACTACATTTTTTAATAGAGTGGGTCATCATTCTATATTTTGCGAATGAATAAGGAAAAGCAGTGAAAAGATGTTTCTTTTTACACTAGAAAAAAAAATTGGTACAAGGACCCACTCCATATTAAAAAAAATGGTTTACCAACTTAAATATTCAACACGGTCCTTAAAAATTCTCAGTCAAAATACGTCACAAGTGCTTGTGGAAGGACCTCCACCCCAACACCCCAGGTCCAAGAATATTTTTAGTTGTCTTCTTTCATAAATTATTTTTCTAAAACGCATTTACAATGTATTCCATATGGAAAATCCAAAAAATATTCTAGAATATTTACATTTCCAATGTCTTTGTCCGAGATAAAACTACAAATTGTAAAAATACTTTTTACATAAATCTACTGGTTCATCGATAGGCGCGGTTAAAAAAAATCACGTGCGGGGCGGGACAAACAGAGACAGAAGCGGGGTTATTAGCACGGGAATTTGCAGAATCAGGAGCATGTAAATATAAGGAATAACTGTCCGATTTTTTGGATTCATGACGATGATCAATCGATTGGCTTGCGTGATAATTTTATGCATAAACGCCTTATGCAAATTATCACGCAAGCCACTCGATTGATCACATCATGAATCCAAAAAATTAGACAGTTATTCCTTAAATGAACACTTTATTCAAAAGGCCATACTCGCGTTTTTATAAAATAGAGACTCCATAAGAGACAAAATAATTTTAATCTACATCTATACATGAAATAAGCATTATGAAGCAATTTTTTTAAAGAAAAAAAAATTGTTAAGCTCCTGTGTCATATTTGGTCGCTTAAATTGACATAGCCATCAAAATTCACGTTAAATTTATTAAAGCATAGTCGTGAACATGGTCACTCTTTTTTTTCACTCGTCCTAGAAATCCTAAGAACAATTGAAATGTCAGGGATATTAAGTTGGAAACACGAGATAATTTATGCATAACGGATGAAGCCCGTTATGCAAATTATCCCGCGTTTCCAACTGTCGTTAATGACCTGGCATATCCAACAAACTAGACAGCGATTCCTTAAGTATCTTGCAATGGCTCCTATGAATTGATATAAATTTCTTTTACACGCACTGCGGATTCAACTCGGTCAATTCCGTAACTGTGGAATACTAACGAATGCAAATAAGATATGATAAGTAAGGGTGTGTGTGTGTGTGCGCCAATAAATGTAACCAAAATTCATCCACATTTCCTGAGACCTTCTAGAGCGCATTAGATTTATTTTTAACAGTACATTAAATCTGTTGTTATGTCCACCTAACATGTGCAACATCTTCACAATAATCTGAATAATCGACTTGTTTAATGATGATCTTTCAAAGCATTCATTTTAATAGAATTCAGAGGCAGGTTAAGGATATCCGCTCCTCAGCCAGGAATTATAATTCTTAATTTTATTATTTAATTTAAAGTCACAAAATGAAGCTTGAAATTGAAATCTTTTCGTGCAACAATTTTCATTTCATGTATCTCAATGTGATTCAAGGTTCTTTATAGTCTTAGAAACGGTCTAACTTGTAAAAAGTTGACATTTGTACACTATAAAAGTGTAAAAATAAATACATTATAAGAGAAATTGAATTTCCAGTCATCTAGCCTTAGATACCAATGTTTATTAAAAGTTATCCTTGATGTTTTGCAATGATAGCAAAAATGTATTGAAGTAAATAGAAAAAATACTGTACATTGTACATGTATAAGTATTAAAAACACGCAATTTTCTCCAAATGCCTGGATACCTATAGTTTTTTTTTTTATCCTAAAGTAAATTCGTCGATCAATTTTCAATTAGAAAATGCATAGCAGGTTTTTGATCTGCATTTCCTGATTTTTTTTTTTTAAAGATTTGATAATTTTCCATATATATTATGAATAACTTTAATGATGACGTTTGAAGAATTACCATGTATAAATACACATTTCTTTGAGAATTCAGAAACATTTTTGTGAGCATTTTCAATTTAAGGCATTTCTACAGTGCAGACATGGAGACACTTCTATGATAATGATAGCATGTAACACAGGACTGATTTATGATAATATCAATATTCCTTTAATCCACATATCACATAAAAGAGGAACACTTTACTATTACTATTCGTTAGGTGCATTTATTCATGATAAAGTTAACACTTCATTCCTGAGATGCTGGAAAAAACCTGATGAGGAATGTTACAGAATTTACAACTAATAGTGCACTGAGGTAATTGTACTAAAATAGCAAAATGAATTTTAAGAAGTCCGAAGATACACTGAATATTATGCATCAAGTTTTCCTCTGATCCAGGGTAAAAGACTCTTGACATTGGCATACACTCCTGGATAATTTGGAAGCCCACAGCCTCTTCCCCACGAAGTTACACCCAGTACAGTGTATTTACCTAGGGGAAAAATATATAAAGCATTAGAAATTAAAAAAGGGGGGCAACTAGCTAATTTGGACACAAAGCATCACATAAAGTGTCACTCTTTTATGAAGGTAAAAGTAAGTGCTTACCATTTACTTTACAGACCAAGGGTCCCCCACTGTCCCCTTGACAGGTATCAGACCCTCCATTAATGTAACCTGCACAAAACATGCTGTTTGTTATGGAATGGCTCTTGTAAAGTCTTTTGCAGGTCGTCTGGTTTACAATAGGAATTTGTGCATATTTCAGGAGATTTGATGATATTCCTGAAATGTAAATGAAAATTTGCTTCTACATTTGCATTTCATGCATATTACTGCAGTGATTTTGAGCGCATGTATATTTTAATCATGCATTCTAAAACAAGAGGCTCAGAGGCCTAAACACGCTCTTCTGATAAATCACTGAACAGTCAAACATGTACATGTACGTGAAGGTTCAAGACGTATCAAGCATTTCCAGTACTAGTATCTATAGGTAAATTGATTATACATGTATGTTATATTATTATCGTTTTCAATATAAAGACCACTTTAAACTAATATTATTTCAAATGAATTAAGTGTAGTGATACCTAAGTTAATCAATTCCATTTTTTTCTGGTTAAAGGTGCATTTTTGAATTTGTGAGCGTACCTCAATATTCTTTTAATATTTATTATGTACTCCATACAAACTTGGTGATTCATCGGTATTTATCATTAACCAACACTTGAAATTAAAATTAAAAATATCAAAGGAAAATGAAAAAAAAAAATGTTCTAAGTAGCTTTGTTTTCTGTTGTTAAATATAAACTGGTTCTGTTATAAGATGTAAAAAAGAAGACAATATCCCTTTAAAAATTACTTTAAATTGTACAAATATAGATTTAAAATGATTGATATGTATTTGACGCAAGTCATATTGTGATGTAAGCGTTTCAAATTATGAAATATAAACTTTTTTACCCAATCAGTTGACTCATTACAACTAGAATTAAATTATTAACGAATAACTGCAGAAATAAATGTACATTATCACGAACCATTTTCCATTTTACCCCATCCAGATATGTAACAATCCAGGTTTTCACTGTAGACTGTAGCTTCTGATGGCAGACAGGCAGGCTGAACACTTGAAACCATTGTTATACCACGGCCAAGCTTAGGTTTTACTTTTAGTAAGGCTATGTCATTGTTCCAAGTTCCTTCTGCAGAGATATATATTTTTACACTGAAGGTTCGAACATTTTCCATTTCACACACACAAACACGCCCTCACACACACTATCTATCTATCTATCTATCTATCTATCTTATATTTTATATTTATATATATATATATATATATATATATATATATATATATATATATATATATATATATATATATATATATATATATATATATATAATCTTACTATCGAATTCCTCATGGCTGTAAATTTCTTCTAATTCAAATTCCTCCTCGTATAAATCTGGTACTTTGTTGTTCCAGTCTCCAACTCTTATTAACAGCTCTGATTTTTTCACCTCACTTATAAGACAAGATGTTTGAAGATGGTTAGTTTGGGTTATACTCGTTATAATTTGAATTTCTTTTTTTACGTAATATGAAACGTAAAAAGAAACGCAGTGTAACATAATTTGCGAAATTATTTTGACTGCATGGCTGACCCCTCCCCCTTTACATCTGTCTTCCTCTTACTCGTGCACATGCGTATGCCTAATTTTTCAGAATGTTAACCTATCAAAAGTTTGCAAAGGCATAATCGCAAAAAAATCACATTGATCCACTCGACTGGCCTCAGTAAAGTCCCTTTTTCCTCCAATCAAACATCTGTGGTTCAGTGTGGGACTAACTGGACGGTAGGGTTCAGGCCCGTAGAGGTTTCAAAAGTTTGGGGACCAACTTCCAAAAAAAAAAATAATTAAAAAAATAAATAAATAAACCAGCATCTAAAGGAAAACTTACTGTAGCAAAATACTATACTCAGAAAAAAGTGCCCCCCCCCCCCCGCGTTCTACGGGCCTGTGGTTTAAAGGCGTCAGAATGTCCCAGCTACTCTCGACTAACTAAGGGCTGACTTGTCGGAAGAGTTGAATAAAATCCCTATGATAACGATAAATACACTGATTAACTCCATGCAGAGGAGAATCAAGGCTGTGATAGATGCGCCAGGAAAGCATAGGATATAATGAGGATTTTCGATTTTCACTTTTTTGGGATGCCTTCATATGAGTTTCAACAACTCATGAATAATAAGTCAAAATCAAATGAGATTTTGGTAACTTGTTGATTAAAGATGAGTATAAATATTAGATTTCAATGCTGAAAATATTAAGTAATAACATTAAATCACTACAGGTTTACACTGCGTTTCTTTTTCTTTTTAGTATATATGTGTAAAGCAATATAACCCCCATTCTAACTTGCAGTATAGCTCGTGCTTGCTGATGTAGAATGGGACATTTTTTACATTATATGCATATAAAAAAAAACCAACTCATCAAAACAATGTGCAGCACTTAGGATCCAGAATGGACTGAGAATGGTTCCGCCACAGTGTGGTCTAGTATTTGTTTTATATTGGATTATCCTAATGCCCACTTGCCAGGGGAACATTCCTTCGGTCGCAAAATATCCAGAAACTATTGGCAAGGCTTGAGGCTTCCTCTTTGACGTGTCTCTTCTTCGTCTGGATTTGATCAGTGATTCCTTTGGATGCTGGCCGCAATCTTGAATGAATTAAACAAACTTTGAAAGATATTTAATATTTTTGTTTCGAGATTTCACGACCTTATTCGACATGATAAATTATCATAATTTTTTATACGAGTGTATGTATATGCACTTTTTCGTAACATACGAAAGAGATAATCTTATTATATGCTGTTCAAAATAAGAAACGCGTATGAAGAATTTCGTAATAAATTCGGAAGAATCTTTATAACAAATTTTAATATTTATTCAGTTGGTGTGTATTAATGATATTATATTAGTAATTTCCATTGTCTTAATCACTTGCAAAGGTCAAGGTCTTTATAAGTTAGTATCTAGTGTACCCTTTTCATACAGTAATGACAGACTGAGAGCGCCTTCCAATCTAGGCCGGGCCCCAGTGGCATAAAACGCATTTTAAATCTTGTATATAGGCACAAACTGCCCGTGCAAAACGAAATGACCAAAATTTGGGGTTTATGAAAATTCGTTCTAAATAATTGACAAACATTTAAAGTCCGATCTGTCCTCCTACATGTATAAACCACTACACCTTGTACTGATGAAAGAAGATGGGCGTGTTTGGCGTGTGATCTGCAGGAATAAGGCGTACGAAACATTTATAGTTTAAATTTCTACGATTTGGTCGGCTGACCACAGCTGGACATACTCTACAAGTTACGCACATGGGAAAATGTTACATTTAGTTTATAATGCTTTGTCAAATTTAATATATCAGTCTGCTTATCTTAATAATTACTACATGTAAAACTTAGTAACGCTTCAAATAAATAATAAACACATATAGGGTATAGTTAAATTTAATTACATGTATATATTAAAGTATCAATAGGTTGGAAGAATTGCTTTCGCTTTCGGTGCAACAAAATCAGAATTTATCTATTTGAAAATAAATCAGTACATAAAATTACACTGACAAAAGAATTGATTGTTTTCACTAAAAAAATTATTAACGCTCCATGCGAGGATCGAACCAAAAATATTTCTTTTCATTGCACTGGACGGGTAACACATTCTACTGAGCTATCACCGCTACATACACCTTATGGTTTTTAAAGCGACAATGAAGCACCGCATTTACACATTGGAATTTTGTTGGAAAAAGTTAATTTTTTATTGTCTCTGGGTCTTCTCTCCATTTTTTACAAATGTTTGTTTGTTTCTTTGAATTAAAACACACACAAATAACTTTTCAAAATCATGGAGAGATGACCCAGAGATAGCACATTTTTAGAAAAACGTGTTTAAAAATGTAACATTTGGTACCAAATGACTCATCAAGCGAATTTTTAAGTTCTTTTTTAGCAAATCAAAATACAATATCGGAAAATATGTCCCTTTCTTATTTCACAGGAACCCGATACATCAAAAGAATGCTAAAATTTCATGTGACAGATCAATGAAATTTTCACTTTTCAAGTGCGCCCAGATTCCTGCCGAATGCCAATCAAAAGCGCCCTCGTTCTTTTCACACTAAAGTCTTAAAAGTAAGAGAAAAAAAACTGAATTCTGGTCCAAAGCATTTCTTTTTTATGAGTAGATTGTACATGTATAGAGAGAGAGAGAGAGACGTTCCGACCGCTTAACCAGTTAATCGTATCAAAATACATGTAGCTATACATTTCTTGAAATATGTTTTCAAATAGTTCTATTCATATACACAAGAAGACTAAAGAAAGACAGAAATTTGAAATATTCTGTTTATCTTGATAAGAAACATTTTATTTCAATTTCAATATACAAGAAAAGAGTAAGAAAACCATGAAACATGCCTACATTGCTAATTTTCCACAGCAGATGTCACACAAGTTCATTCTGAATTTTCAACATAATCAACACTATATTCTAACTATCACTTAATTTAAAATGTTTATTTAATAGTTTAAACATGCAGTAATTAACACTTCACAAACTGACCAATTACCCCCCCCCCTCCCGATCTTAATCAGGAGAGAGTCAAAATAGCCTTATATATATATATATATATATATATATATATATATATATATATATATATATATATATATATATATATATATATATATATATATAATACTTATCAATTGGCTTCTCATTGTAATTCATTTATTTATAATGCACTTAAATGAGAGTATATCATATATTTACAATTGTAAACTTATTTATCTAGGGTAGAATATAGATATTTATAGACAGAATGTATAAAAGGGATGTTTGAGTAAGACTGATGTAGTGTATCTTATGTATTAATTGTGCACTGAAATAAAGTATAGATACGGAGTTTTGTCGAATTTCCTTGAAGAGAGACATAACGTTTACATATCTTATCTTACACATGATGTCATTGCTTAATCAGTTTATCCCAGAAAGGATATCTCTAATACCTTGAATAAAGTGTTATTTCTCATTTTTATGTTCAGTCTACCTGATTTATACATAGGGCTCACGGCGGGTGTGACCGATCAACAGGGGATGCTTACTCCTCCTAGGCACCTGATCTAACCTCTAAAATTTCCAGGGGCCTGTTTAATGCCCTTCTCGCAAATTTGTATTATTTGTTGATTTTTATTAGATCGATCACTGTTTGTTATCTTCACCTAGTCATTTTAGAGATGGGGTGTCTGGGTTACTAGGGAATACTATAACTGTGTGTTTATGGCATGTCCATTTAAAAAAAATAGAATAACAAGAGGTCCATGGGCCACATCGCTCACCTGAGCAATCTGGCTAGGAAGAAGCAGAAATCAGTTCAGTATATTGAAAAGTTTTAAGGGGGGGGGGGGGCAAGCTTAAATTTACACTACCTCAGGATGCGTCTATATCAATATTACTAATCATGGCATTTTCTTAAACAGAAGAATTCCAAAGATTTTTTTAGCTATGTATTCCTATGTATAACTCTGATTGGTCATTGTGGCCCCACCCTACCCACCGAAATTTGAACAAATTTGAATCTACACTACCCGTGGATGCTCCTATAATAATATGACTAATCATGGCTTTGCTGTTCTTGAGCAGCAGATTTTTTCAAGATGATTCCTATATATTCTTATGCAAAACTTGACCCTCTGTTGTGCCCTAACCCCTGGAGGATCATGATTTGAACAAACTTGGTTCTACAATACCTAAGGTTGCTTCTGTATATATATGACTAATAATGGCTTAGTTGTTCTTGAGAAGAAGATTTCAAAGACATTTCCTATTTAATGTGTATGATCAGTTTCTTACAAGGGATATATATGTTTTCCTTTTACTCTGTCTGAGTTAATGATTGGACGGCTATGTCTGAGGGTGTATCACATAGTACTTAAATTTTCTCTTTCATCTAGAGATGGGGACTGGGTAAGGTACTACTTGCACCGTGTTTCTCTCCTAGGTTCCCATTGATAGATAAGAACCAGTTGTCTCAATCTTCTTCAGATTTACTACACCCAGAACTTAAGTACTTTACAAAGATTGCAATGAAGTCTATGGAGAATTTTTTTAAAAATAAAAATTCAAATAATAAGAATATCAATAAATACTGTAATGAAAAATGGACTAAAACACATTAGAAATAGAATGACAATTGAAAATGATTTTTTAAGGTAAGGTTTTTAACATTGATTTTTTTAATTAATTAATAACAGAGGGAGATAACTCTTACCAAAATTCAAGGTCATAAATTAGGACACATCCCACCCTTACATGCTAATTGTAATAAATGGGAATTATGTCTAAATATACTGAGTATTCAACACCTACACATCTGTTATGTATTCAGTTTCATTGAATTTTTGTTATTAGGATGAAATACCTTAACTTCTTCATTGCTGATTCATCATCAAATTTCTACATCTACCTTCTGAATGCCTGACTTTCCCAAAGCTTTGCCTTATATCCCTTAGGCTAGTCCATTCCAAGGTCTGTCAGGTCATTCCACTATTTGAAGTCTTCAATGCGTTTTACTTCAATGCCCTTTAACCATTACACCTATATATT